GTGTGTGTGAGGGTTTGAGTGGATCTGTGTGAGTGTGAGGTTTGAGTGTCTGTGTGTGTTGGTCTGTGTGACTGTGAGGGTTTGCATGTGTCTGTGTGAGTGTGAGGTTTTGAGTGTGTCTGTTGGTCTGTGTGAGTGTAAGGTTTTGAGTGTGTCTGTGTGTGCGTTGGTCTGTGTGACGTTTTAAGTATGTCTGTGTGAGTGTGAGGGTTTGAGTGTATCTGTGTGAGATTTGAGTGTCTTGTATGTGTTGGACTGTGTGAGTGTGAGGGTTTGAGTGTGTCTGTGTGTGAGCTTTGAGTCTGTGTGTGTGTGTGTGTGTGTGTCGGTCTGTTGGTTTGTGTTTCCTTAGAATTTTATCTCTTGTTCTCCACCAATGGCAGTGAAGAGAGGGGTTGGCATGTGCTGCTACTGACTGTTGTAACAGGAAAACAGTGCGACTGTTAAAGTCAACCTCTGTATTTGCCTCTTTCTATTTTATCATTAAAAGGAGTCCAAGAAGAGTTATAAAGAGCCCCTGTGAATCCTTAAGTCTTTGTGCATTTGATCAGAGACTTTAACTTGACACATTCCTTACTCTGTTGTATTTTCCACATGACCTGCAAATTCCCCCTTTTGCAGTATTTCTCCAACTCCTTTTTGGAAAGTTCCTGTTGAATCAGTTCCCACTACTCTCAGGCAGCAATTCCCAGATCACAACAACTCACTGCATCAAAAACATTCCCCTCCTCTCCCCCTCTGGTTCACTGACCAGTTCCTTTTCTCTGGTTACTGAGTGTCCAGGCACTGAAGACTCCTCATTACTTGAACAACACTCCATCATGTGGACACCTTGAAATTTTCCTTTGCCTCCACTCTAAGGGGAACACACCCAATGTCTCTGGTCAGTCGTGCAGAAGCCTCATACTCTCTCTCTCTCTAACCCATGTTGATCAAGCTTTGGGAGTAATTAATGGGATAGTTTATAGAATTACAGAAAGTGGTTACACCATGGAGAGAGACCTTTTAGCCTGTCATGTCTATGCTAGCCTTCTAAGGAGCAATTCACCTTGTGACACTCACCTGCCTTTTGCCCATGATGCTGCATATTTAACATCACAAATGATGATCCCATTTCCTTTCAAAAGTGTCCACTGACCCTGCCTCCACCATACTCTTGGGCAGCACATTCCAGAGCCCAATCACTCACTGGGTGAAGACATTTTGTCTCATTTACTCAGTGCTTCTTTGGCCACTTGCCTCTGCTTCTCGATCCTTTTGCCAATGACAGCCCATCAGCTCTGTCCAGATCCCTTGTGTTTTTGAACACCTCGATCGAATCTCCTTCCAGCCTTCTCTTCTCCAAGGAGAACAGTCCCAGCTTCCCTGACCTACCTACCCAGTGAAGGTCCTCATCCCTGAAATTCTTTCCAGACTCTCTCTAATGCCCTCACAGTACACAGTCCTCCTGCTGAGGCCACACCACGGTTTTGGAACAGATTTAGCACAGTGGCCGCACTCTTGTACTCTACTCTCTGATGAATAAAACCAAGAAGACTGCATACTTTATTAATTGTCCTGCCACCCTCCATTACTGATGCACATTTATCCCCAAGCCTCCCGACTCCTGTACTCCCTGTAGATCTGTACCATTTATATTCGAGTGTTTCTCTACACTCTTCCTATCAAAATCTATCACTTCTCAATGCTCAGCATGGAATTTCATCTTTTGCTTGACAGCCCATTCCATTGAGCCATTTACATCCTTCATCCCACTCAGTTCACAATGCTTCCAAAATTTTCTATCAGATACAAATGTTAAAATTGTACACCATTCCCAATACAGGTGCTGTCTCAAGAAGAGCAGAGATCCAACACAGAGCTCGGGGAAACTCCATGTCATACCATCCCCCAGCACGGAAGAAATCCTGTGATCATTCCTCTCTTTCCTGTCATTCAGCCAATTCCGTTTTTATGTTGCTCCTTTCATTTTGACTCCATGAACTATAACCTTGCTATCAAAATTGTTGTGCACCATGTTATAAACGCCCTTCTGGAAGGTTAGGTTTACCAAATCAACAGCATACCCCCTCAGCATTGAGCCCTTCCATTATCTCATCATTGAGAACCTCTATCACCTTCTCAAAAAAAAAATGACAGGTCTGTAAACACAATTTTACCTTAACAAATTTATGTGAGCTTTTTTTGATTAACTCACATTTGTATATAGAGAAATATATAAATTTTACCTAAACCTGTGCTGTCCCTGTCCTGGAGTGTTTGATGGACACAGTGTAGGGGAAGCTTTATTCTTATCTAACCTTGTGCTGTCCCTGCCCTGGGCATGTTTGAGTGGGGACAGTGTAGAAGGAGCTTTACTTTCAGTTTGAAAATGTAAAAAGAGCTTTTTTAATTACGCATGGTATGTGGGTGTCGCTGGCTCGGCCCACATTTATTGCCTATTCCTAGTTGTCGTTGAGAAACTGGTGGTGTTTTGATTTGATTTGATTTATTGTAGTCAATGTACCTAAGTACAGTGAAAAGATTTGTTTAGCAAGTAGTACAGCAGATCAGAGCAAACAAGGACATACAGATCATTGGGTGCTGGACAGAGCAAGGCATACAAGGTTACGGCTGCATAAAGCAAGATCAACGTTACTTGAAGTTGGAGAGGTCCATTCAGCAGTCTCATAACAGCAGGGAAGAAGCTGTTCTTGAACCTGTTGGTGCGTGTGTTCAAGCTTCTGTATCTTCTGCCTGATGGAAGAGGTTGTCAGAGAGCATTACTGGGATGGGAGGAGTCTTTGATGATGTTGGCAGCCTTTCTGCAGCAGTGAGAAGGGTAAATGGAGTCCATGGATGGGAGGTCGGTTTCCATGATGGTCTGGGCTGGACACACAACTTTCTGTAGTTTCTTACAGCCCTGGGCAGAGCAGTTGCTGTACCAGGTCGTTATGCACCCAGATGGAATGCTTTCCATGGTGCATCTGTAGAAGTTGGTGAGGGTCCTTATGGACATGCCAAATTTCCTAAACTGCCTGAGGAAGAAGAGGCGTTGTTGTGCCTTCTTCACCATCGCATCTGCGTGGGAGGTCCAGGACAGATTGTCGGTTACCGTCACTCCTAGGAACTTGACACTCTTGACCCTTTCCGCCTCAGCTCTATTGATGTAGATAGGGGTGTGTCCTCCTCCTTTTTTCCTGAAGCCAATGATGTTCTTTTGTTTAGCTGATATTGAAAGAGAGATTGTTATCATTGCACAAGACCAAGCACTCTATCTCCTTCCTATATTCTGAATCATCATTGTTAGATATCCGTCCTACCATGGTGGTGTCGTCAGCGAACTTGTAGATGGCTTTCGTACGGAATTTGGCAACATGGTCATGGCTGTATAGAGAATACAGTAGGGTGCTGAGAAGACATTCTTGTGGTACTTTCGTGTTGGGGACTATTCTGGAGGAGGTGCTGTGTCTATCTTCACTGATTGTGGTCTGTGGGTCAGGAAGTTGAGGATCCATTTGCACAAGGCAGAGCCGAGACCTAGATCTCTGAGTTTTGAGATTAGTCTGAGCTGCCTTCTTGAACCGCTTCAGTCCATGTGCTGTAGGTTGACCCACAATGCCCTTAAGGAGGGAATTACAGGATTTTACTAGTGAGTCAGGATGGTGAGTTACTTGGAGGGGAAATTGCAGGTGATGGTGTTCCCATGTATCTGCTGCCCTTGACCTTCCAGATAGAAGTGGCTGTCAGTTTGGAAGGTAGTGTCAAAGGAGCCTTGATGAATTCCTGCAGTGCATCTTGTAGATAGTACACACTGCTGCTACTAAGCATCGGTGGTGGAGGGAGTGGATGTTTGTAGAAGTGGTGCCAGTCAAGCCGGCTGCTTTGTCTTGGATGGTATCAAACTTCTTGAGTGTTGTTGGGGCTGCTGTCATCCAGGCAAGTGGGGAGTATTCCATCACACTCCTGACTTGTGTCTTGTAGATGGTGGACAGGCTTTGGGGAGTCAGGAGGTGAATTACTCGCCACAGTATTCCCAGCTTCTGGCCTGCTCTTGTAGCCACTGTGTTTATGAGGTGAGTCCAGTTGAGTTTCTGGTCAATGATAACCACCAGGATGTTCATAATGGGGGCATTCAGTGATGGTAACACCATTAGATTTCAGGGGGTGGCGATTAGATTGTTTCTTATTGATGATAGTTATAGCCTGGTATTTCTGTGGCGTGAACATTATTTGCCACTTGTCAGCCCAAGCCTGGATGTTGTTCAGATCTTGTTGCATTTGAACATGGACTGCTTCAGTATCTGAGGATGATGTTGAAGATTGTGCAATCAGCAGTGAACATCACACATCTGACCTTATGATGGAGGGAAGGAATTGATGAAGCAGCTGAAGATGGTTGGGCCTAGGATACTACCCTGAGCAACTCCTGCAGAGATGTCCTGGAGCTGAGATGACTGACCTCCAACAACCACAACCATCTTCCTACATGTCAGGTCTGACTCTAACCACCGGAGACTTTACCCCCTGATACGCATTGATTCCAGTCTTGCTCGGGCTCCGTAATGCCACATTAGGTTGAATGCAGCCTTGATGTGAAGGGCCGACACTCTCACCTCACCTCTGGAATTCAGCTCCTTTGTCCATGTTTGAACCAAGGCTGTAATGAGGTCAGGAGCTGAGTGGCTGAGGCGGAACCCAAACTGGGCATCACTGAACAGGTTAGTGCCGACCAGGTGCTGCTTA